GCCTCTTCACTTTGTTTATGAACGTTCGCGAATGTGCGTTCGGTGCGTTTAGTGCACATGCGCGCTGGGCGCACTAGCGAGCATAGCGGGCGAACAAAATGTTGCGGTAGGCGAACTAATTTCATTTTTAAAATTCCGATTATTGACTTTTCTGAATCGATTCCGAATCGTTCTGTAGAGAATCGATAGAAATCAAAAAATAACCCCTAATAACTAGTGTGTGTAGGGATGGGGCCGATCCGATCCAGTATCGGTATCGGGACCCGATACCAGAGAAATTCGGGTATCGGATTTTCCGATACAACCTTTGGAGATTTCCGATATCAATGAGCCATGTCTGCGCTTTAACGTCGTCTGCTGAAATGACTCCAAAAGTGATCCCCGCCTGCTAGCCTGCTAGTCTGCTAGCCTGCTAGTCTGCTAGCCTGCTAGCCTGCTAGCCTGCTAGCCTGCTAGCCTGCGTTCAGGAATCCATTCCACAGTTTGCAGCCAGCTAGCAGACTAGCAGGCTAGCAGGATAGCGCTGAGGCTAGACAAAATGTCCGCTGTGTGGAGATTCTTTATGATAGAATGCAAATGCAAATGTATTTAAAAGAACCAATAATGGGTGAGAAAGACAGTCCCTTCCAGTACTGGGCCACTAACCCAGCAACCACGCCCGCTTTCCTCTCCTTGCTGCTGTAAAGTTTCTGAGTGCCCCTTCAACCAGTGTGGAAAGCGAAAGACTGTTTAGCACGGCAGCCAATATCGTGGATGTAAAAAGGAATCGTCTAACTGCAGAGAGCAGAAATGCTCATATTCCTCAAGAAGAACCTGCCGATGTAACATTTGTTGAACACTAACATCACTTCCTCAGAGTCAACTTTGAGACATTCAATTTGTGTTTTCTTTTAAAGAATAGTGACTCTGGTGTTTAGTTTATTCCAGGTCATCTTAAGTGATGTTGTGATGCACACTGTTTTAAAACTTATTGTGTGTGTGTGTGTGTGTGTGTGTGTGAGAGTGAGTGTGATTGCGTGTGTGAATGAGTGAGACTGTGTCAAGTGTGTATATGTGTAAGATGTTTACAGTTATTTTATTGCACTTTTCTTCAGATATTTGACATGTTGTTCATGATACAAGAGTCAGTTTACTTGATTTGTGCTGTTATTTTTGTGAATGAGTGAGTGAGACTGTGTGTCAAGTGTGTATGTGTGTGTGTGTGTGTGTGATGTTCACACTTGCACTTTTCATATTTCTAAATTTGTAAGACTCAAGTATTTGACATTTATGAAATGAAATAAATATTGACATGACAATCAATCTGAAACCCTTACAGATTTTTTCTGTTAACAGTGAAAAAATGTGGATGTGGTGCGTCCCTAAGTGTGTGTAATAAGTGGTCAAATAACACAAAATCCCCCAAGAGGAACGTAGCTGTAGACATTAAAGCCACATCCATGTTTGGATCAAGAAATCACACACACACACACACACACACACACACACACACACACACACACACACACACACAGAGACGGTGTGTCCGCTTACCTTCGTAGCACATCGGACAGCACTGGCGGGACTGTAGTTCGTACTCCTTGGACAGACAGCACGTCCCTGGAGTCACGAGGACGGAGACACAGAGGACCGCACCTAAACAACAGCGGCGTTAGTTAAAGTCACGATAACTTCACCTCAGAACCTCTTTGTGCTGCGAGACACTTACAGAAGAGCGACCGACGCATTCTACAAACACCCGTTTCTACTTTTAAGTTCCGCGAACATGTCGCCATTTTCCCCTCCTCCTCCTCTCCCTCCATAATGGCGGCTGGTTCTTCTGGATTGTTGGAATATTAGAACGCTTGATGTATAAACATTTATTAAAAAGCTCTTCTGCTGTTCGAACAACACGTATCTTTAACCGGAGTGAGGCAGACAAAAAGCTGCGTCTTCATTGTAGAACGACGGGGTATCGAAACCAAAATCCCGTGTTTGTCTTCCCTGACTTTCAAACAGGAAGGGAGCGCAGCAGCTGGAACCGGAAGTACGCACATTTTCACAGTAAAGGTCAACGCCAAAGCGAGTTGATCCAAACATTACCAGATTAACATTATACAAGTTAATAAATAAACCAGGGCCAATGGGAGTGTAACGGCAACAGCCGTCCCCCACACAAAATACTAATTTGTATTCATCAATGTACACAACAATACTCATTAATCAGTGCACTGTTGGATGCAGTATCAGGCACAGAGATTTTTGGGGGGCAGGTGCTCAAACCAAAACAAAAGGGCATTCATCGCCAAAATTATTCAGCAAATTGAAAATGAATAATACAATGAATAAATAAACACAGGATATATTCCCTGTCCTTCTGCTTTTGGAGTCTCTCTTGACTCGGCATGGTGCTGCACATTTTGCAGTTGTGCATAATAATCTCTGACGATGAAAACACACACTTTTTACTGTTTTCTGACAAGTTGAAGCATAAGCAGCATTACACTAATAATATACCACACTATACCTCACCAGGTAGCTCAATGTAAGACCTACCCTTCATTTCAATATTTGATTAAATTAAACTAGGGAACTTCTAACGTCTAATTTGTAGAAAAGTAAAACTGCCTTTAAATCCTCTCTCCCTCTCAGTAAACAGCTGGACAAACTTTGAAATCACGCATTTCGTGAATTTATTGTTTGTCCATTTTTTAGGAAACGTCGGACCAGTTGCGACGTAATGTTTTCGGTGGAAGGTCATATTTACGCAGAGAACGTCAGAGGAGGATCCCACTCCCGGGATGGACAGACTACAATGGATGCCATGTGTACAGAATGCACAATGTATAATACATGCGACTATATGACAGAAATGATTCCTATGACAGAAATGATTAAAGTAACTGAGTAGTAAGCCAGGGCGGCACGGTGGCCACCGGTACCAGTGAAGAGAGCGGAGGAGTGGAGGAGTGCCCAACTTTGTGTCAACTGCCATCAAGTCCACTTCCTCCATTTACGGTCCATCTGTGGTCCTGTCGGCCGTAGCCTTTGTGTCAGTGTTTCCATGATATGTATTTCCCCCACTGTGTCCACCCAATGGGTCCGAGGGGGTAGATCTTCCATCCCCCACGTCCTTGTGATGGCCTTTTTGCCTGCAACCATGAGTATCTTGAATAGATACGTGTCCCCATCACGTACACCAATCTCTGTCATTTTAAACCATAATTCCAAGGTAAATGTTGTGATTGAATCCATTTGATTTCTAACCTTTTAAATATTTCCCTGTCTCCTATATACTCTGTACCGGACACATTCTAAACGATTTTTCCATTTCTTTCCATTCCAAGTTTACACCTACAATGTCCATGTCTCAGCTGGGCCGTGTGGTCTTTCGAGTTGGGCAGACTCAGGCCCCCCTCTCCCTCTTTAGCTGGAGGGTTCTGAATCTCTCTCTTGCCCCCCATATGAATCTGGATATCATCCTGTCCCATGATACAAATTGTGTTTGAGGCTTTATTATAATGCTTGGAACATGTATAAAGTCTGGGTGATGCATTCGTTCTTATTAATTCAATCCTTGAGCTAAAATCCAATGTTAGGGTGGTCTATGTATATCTTTAAATATCTTCATAGTTGGCCCTATATAGTCCTGATAAGCTTCCCGTCACTTCTATCCCTAAATAATTCATTTTCTCTAGATCTCTAGATCCAATTTAAATTGTATTTTTCCCGGATCTCCTTTGGTGGTGTATAGTTGATAGTGAGTACTTGGGTTTTAGTAATATTTATCTTGTATCCTGATATCTGTCCATATGCATTCAAGAGATCTAGCAATTCAGGCAACGATTCACTGGGCCAATCAAGGAATGCAACGACGTCATCTGTCCGACCGTATGTTCTACTCTGTTCTACTCGGTAGGACTCAACAGCAGGATTCAGTGGATGAAAAAAAGGATTTCATTTCGGCAGAAGTGGGATTTCCATAAGCAGCGCTGAACCCGTGGCCGGGGGAACGCTGGAGAAAACCGGTAAGCACAAGGGTCCGGGCGGCAGGAGCCACGTGATCGGCGACTTGACTGGCTGGAGGGAGTTTTCCAGAGTTGTGGCGGGCGAGATGAGAAGGGAAGCCAGGGAATCCGTCAGACTCTGCAGGAACAAGGCTCGGACGAGGCAATGACCTGTGTCTTTGGGCCATTACAAGATTGGAGTTGCACTGTTTAAAGAGGTTTAACATATTCTTTATTTAACATAAGACAACAAAAAATCCACAAACATTCCAGATGAGATGTGAGTATAATCAGTAGTGTAGGATGTGCATGAGGGTAGAGTGTAAAAGACGGGTGTTGTCAAGGGCATCTAACTAAAAGGAAACAGGATTTAACACGGCGGCTGCCCTACCACACCACAGACGTCTGCTGGGGGGGGGAGAGAATGAACGCTGGGTTTTCTAATCTCAGGGCGCCGGGTCCAGGTGCCTTCAATCACCAAACCCAGCCCACATACTTCAATCCCACTGGAAGGCTGCTACCTCAACAGCAGGGGTCGCCACACCCTCCCCCTTAAGATGATTTCTTTTAGTCGACTACACATCACAAGGGTCATTAGGTGTTCGAATATCCATCTCCTCCCTGTCCACCATATCCGGAGGACATATAATCAATAGTAAGTACCGTACTGGACACCTATATTCTGTACTCTTGTACTCAGGCGCGATAGTAACATCACTTGTAATATTTATTGGCTTCAACATGTTAATATGACCTATGCCAGAGGGACTTCCTACTCTCTTGGAGTGTAATATGATTAATGTCTGCTTCTGACACTATATGCTCCATCGATGGGTCAAAACTTTGCTGGAATTGTGTCTTACCTCTTGGATTGATATCTATATTTTGTGTCTTAT